AAAGATTAGTACTGAGCGAACACGCCATATTTTGGGCGAGATTCTGCATAAGAAAAAAATTTTTTTCATTCCCAAGGAGGTTACTTTTCACCCCACCTAGTAAGTCCGACCTTGTGACCTCCACGTGGTACATCTTGGGTAACGCTGACACAGGCGGCATCGACTGTTCAAGATCTTGATAATTAGGGATCTTTAAAAATCGATGTACATGACTACAAATGAATCTAAAGGTAGAATTCAAATTCACCAGCAGATGGATGCATCATAGCTATGTAAATACCTAGTATTGTTTGAACTATTTTTTGTACAACACATCCATATCTTTTAGAAGGTTGATACGGATGCTCTAAAAATAACTTGACCTCCACATGACCTCTAAGGGTAATTTTGACCTAGGTTTGATAACGTATTCAGACGTAAAATTTTCCGCTATTTTCATTTGTGATGTCATGAATAAGAGTTTACATTTGTTAAACGGTACTTTGACCTTGAATTATGCCCAAGGTCGACCTCAAGGTCAAATTCAAGGTCACCATCAGATAGATCTCCCGAAATCCTGCAAATTTTGTCTGAACCATTTTTTTGTACAAACACATCTCTACCTTTTAAAAGGGTGGTACGGGTGCTCTGAGACACCCGGTATAGCTAGGAAATATTGAAAAGATGAAGGAAACATTACGTATTAATAAATAAGTTAAAATAAGTTGGATTTAAGAATTCAGTGTCATTTTGTAAATTTAAACTTTTTTTTTGTTTGTGTATAAAAATCATTTTCGATATTAGTCGTTTATTCAAATTTTTTTTTCATCTGAATTTTTTATATTATCTCAAATTAATCAAATTCATGAGAAAATTTCCATCTACGTATGCTTTGTAATTACTAATCTTAGCTTGTGTTTCAATTAATGATTTATTCTCATTTATTCTCGTTTTTATATAATGTTCTATTTGTCCACATGTAACGCATTAAAATCCCTGTATTATATGTAAGGATTATGCGTTTCGCGGGTTTTCTCCGTGTCTAGATCCATTCTTGGAATGCCAACGTTTCATGAACCTTGCAATCCATTTTATCAGGGCAAGGAGCAACCTGATATTGAGCTGTTTCCTTTATATTACG